GAAAAACTCATCCTTAGTTTCTCTGATTTCTTTTTCATAAGAATCCTTTATACAGTAACCTTCAACTCCTTTTACAATAAGATCACTCCAACCAAAAGATGAAGCATGATCATACCTTTTCTTTATAGCATGATTATCATCATTTACCCGACTTAGAATGCAATTTTTAGTAGATTCCTTATCCTTAAATGAGAATATGAAACTTTCTTTAGTAACACCATTAAGACTGAATATACATAAAAGGGAATTATAAAATCTAACGTTCCAATCAATAGGATTGTAACCACCAAGAATTTCATCACTATCTTTTACTTTAATAATCGTTACAGTATGAGTGTGATTATCACAAAGTTCATGGAACTTTTCACACGTAAATCCATCACGAGATCCACGAAGCAATAATTTAAATTCATAAAGATTTTTTAATTTGTCTTTGTCATCCATTTTGTTAATCCATTTTGAAATTAATTCAGCATGGTTAATTGTAATAATATTTGAATCAATATTTGTTACGCTAGGCTCTTTAGATATTTGAGATTTTAACTTGTATCTTGTTATATGGTCGTTATCCAAGAAATATTTATTTAGATCCGTATATAATTCCTTTGGTAATAGTTTCTTATATGGTATTACTTTATACAAAAATTCCTTGGAAGTAAAATTGTAGAATCTAATAAATGAAATGCAATGTTGTAAGGTATTCTTCAAAGCATTAAAGTCATCTTTTGTATAGTCAGAAGGATCTGAAGAAATTTCTGGGTTTTGAGCGATTCCCCATTTAAGAACATGCTCCCAAACTTGAACATCACTCATCAAAAGGTTTTCACTTTGAATGAGAGAAAGTAAAGATTTTTCTGGAATTGCAACAAAATCAAGGGACTTGATTATTCTTTCTGGTTCCTTGGAAATTAAATTGGTACAAAACTTTTGAAGTTCTAAGAACGAATTATGTTTAAAACTTATTTGATTTATCAAGTTAAAATTTTGTTTCATCCATGTTGACTTATTTGCAATCAAAAATGATTGTAAGTGGATGACTAATTCTTGAAGACTTAATTCACTGGCAGCGACCAAGGTATTTATAATATCTGAAGCACCATATTCCTCCAAGGAAAGTTTTGCGCCATAAATATACCTTAAAATAAGTTTTTTTTTGGTAACAAAATCAAAAAAAAAATGTATTTATAAAAAGACTCGTACTATTTTTTAATTACCTTAAGATTATGTGAAAACTTTCAGGTAAAATATTTGGTAATTTAATATGTACCAAAGTTCCATCAATTTTCTTTTTATTGGTGGACAAAACTCTTTGCAAATACGGAGAACGATAATATAAAATTATCATATGAGCACGAAATACTTTTACATACGGATCATTTCCAACTTCAATCGTAACATCGTAATATTCGTCATCCTTTAAACATTCAAGTAAATTTTGTGATAATTTCAGTAAAAACTTATTATCGGCCATTACAATTTTCAAAAAAAAATAATATTTTAATGGTAATGTGAAAGAAAAAATAAGAATAAATTAACCTAATTGATGTATTTATTATTTGTGTTTTTCTTGAGTTGGAAATAAAAATGTTGATCGTATCAGATAAATTGTTGCACAACATACACCTTGAAATAAATAAAAACCCGGTTTAAGAAGTTATTTAATCGATCTGTAAGAGAAACCATCGTATATATATTAATTTTTTGTACAGACTAATTGGCCAGAGGTAATTATGTCTAGAGGACATTTTGGCATGTGAACTTTGTCGAAGCGACATTTTTGGGCCATAGGATATTATGGCCAGGGAACATTGAAATGAATATCATCTAGTAATACTATTAAATTACGTTACAGATTTCGTTACTCGATATAGATCAATTTCACTGTACAATTTAATAACACGTCTTAATAAAATGATCATTTCTAAATTTTAATTTTTTTTATTTTAATCTTATTTTTTTTTGTATACGAAATTCATATTATTTTTTTTAAAAGTAAGTTACCCAGGTATCTCATAAAAAGGCAATTTATGAAGTTCGTATCACATTGCGAAAAGGACTTCAGAACCATCTGAAGATTTAAATAAAGATAGACCTTACAGTTCAATTGATCGAATTATTAAAGGTCTTGAACGCAGAAATGGACACTTAAATATTAATATTTTAATTATAATGTATAAACATTTTAAATAATGGGCCAAGTTATTTCCAAGGATTTATGAATTTCGACAAATTATTGTTTACCACACCGCTTATTGATCATGCTTTAAAATTTCCAAAAAACGCTTGGCCTTACATAAAAAGGAAGATCTCGAGTTTGCGTTGAAAATAAGATTTAATTTTCAACTAAAACGAATGACCACGAACACTTACCACATATGAAAAAAGTGACCGTGTAAAAAAAAAAATATATAATAATCGACACCATAGTCACTCTCTATTATAAGCACATTTATGTTAGGTCGACGTAACTAATCAACTTATTAAAAAGACCTCTTCTATGTATATTCAATAATTTTTTTTGTTGTGACTATTTAGGGGGACTGTAGAAATAATAATGATGAGCTGAGCTTATTACTATTATTAAGGAAATTAGAATAAAGATATGTCTAGAATTATACTACGTGTTCATTTTAAGGTCTTGAATAATTTGAAGCCTAACAAACAAAAGATTAATTTTGATTGAATTAACAAAATTAGATTCACTTAACGTGTGAATACTCACGAAGGTGTAAAAGGTTGACTGGTTGAAGCAATGATGAAAAGGATTGACCGTAAATTGGAAAATTTTTTCCATATGGTCAGAACTTATAATAATATAATTTTTCTTATTTATTAAGAGAATGAAACTTCAATAATCGAAACAAACAAAATTATAATGGAGAATGAACGCAAAGATCAGTTGTAGAAGCTTAAATGACTGACTTTGGCCACATAAAGATCCGAATTTGAAAAAATTTTTGATTGAATAGATTGTAGTACGAACAGCAAAAATACGAGATTTTGTGCCACATAATCAAGTTGATTATTATAATCAATTTGAAGAAGCAAGCCGAATGCCAATGATAAAAGAAAAAGCAGACAAACCACACCATAAGTAGTACTTCCTGAAGCAACATCCTCTTGAAACTCAACACTGTTGGCTGCAACTAAGTCTAGTACTCCACGTTAAAACTTATACCCACCTGTTACCGTTCTATATTGGAAAAAAAATAAAATATATATATATAAATTACGAACATCAAATAAATATACACTGTTAGTGTCTAATAAAATAAAGAATATTATGTCTTTCATTGTCATTTGCCGTGGGAAAAAGTAAGCTTAAAAAATCTTTGAAATACGTAATAAATAGGCAAAATCATATGATCATACGTGTTTGTTATTTGATGCTTTGAAAATTAACATGCATGTTATATACTATCGCGTAAAGTCCAAAATGTTATTTGTTTTATATATCCTTCTTACACTATTTAATTTTAATACGTAAGGAGCTATTTATTTACTAACTTCCTACAAAAATTATAACGAGCAATAAACCTCCCATTAATCACAATTTTGTTATTTTTGTGCAACGCAAACCCGAATATTTGTTTCAAAAATTAAGATAAAAAATATTGTCTATCTACCAACCCGTACATAGACTCATTAAAAATTAAAATACTGATCATTTTATCATGAATGTTGATAATCGAAATAGATATTTGAATGCAGAAAAATATTTAGTTAAATGAACTCGGTGTACTATGTAATTTATGAAATATATTTTATAATATAAGGTGATTTTCCGTAAATAATGTGATACACAATACAACAGGCACGACGACAATTTTCATGATTTGAAATTAATTGTTGAAATTTTTGATGTCATTCATTTTTAAAAAACGTTTAGCATTGTATACGAGAATTAAAAATTTCTTTATTCTGGAAAAAAAAAAAATAAATAAATAAACCAAGTAACTTTTATTATCTTCGGCTGTAACTTTCAAAATCTCCGTCATTTTCAAAACCATTACCGCTTAAAGAAATATTACATCCCTGATAAATTTGTAAAAATAAGAGGATTTTTGCGACAGCGACGCTTTATTTTTTTTTATTTATTTTTAATTTTAATTAATATTGAAAAACGTTTTAAAGTGCAAAAAAGCCTTCATAAGTAACTATGTCGATCATGTCATTTGCATTTGTGTTCTGGAAAAAGAATTAAACTTCTCATAATAATGTTTTGAAAATAAAACGTGGAAGATCGTTAAAATATAAGTGGAAAAAAAATGATGTTCCCATTACCTAATACAATACATTAAAAGGATCGCTGACTCGTGGCAGCCATGACATATTTCATTTGTTATTGAATCTCGCACATTACCTGAAACATTAAAAGGATCGCTACTCGTGGCAGCCATGACAGATTTCATTTGATATTGAATCTCACACAAACGTGTGTGACTGATTTTTTTTTTTTGTTGCTTTCCTTTGATTGATTTCTTAATCAACTAAAATATTAAACCTTTATCCGATAAGAAAAATACTAAATTCATTGAGCGACATCTTATCTTGTTTCCATTTAAGAAAAATAATAAGGTAGGTAGATAAGAAACAATCAATTAGGAAGAAATCAATAAAATTTATAATTTGAATTTGGCCGATTATCATTAGGATTATCTCGGAAAATATTTATTTAATTTATGTCATTTTCTTTAACAAGGTATTGTTTATTTATGTTTTTAGGATAAATAATGAATTTTTAATTTGCGAATTTCCCGATAACATTCACAAAACAAAATAATGAATTTTTAATTTGCGAATTTCCCGATTACATTCATAAAACAAAAAAAAATCTTATGATCGTTAAAAATAATGACTATAGTAGTACATGATGCATTTTAATATCAAGGCCAAGTTCATTATAAAACATCGATTTCCACTTTTGTTGAAAAAATATTTCTTTCAAAAAAAAAAAAAAAATAAAAAGACCACACACTCATCACTAAAGATAGTTCGAAATGAATACTCGACGTAATAGAATGAACCAAAGTGCATCCGCACGTTCGACATTATGTGACTTTTTAAATCACGTAAATTACCATAACCTCAACAATCTTCCCTACAATAGTAATGAAAATGTACTAGCAGCTCACGCAAGGAACGGTAGAACGACTCAAATATTGACAGGAAAGCACATAATGAAACAGAATGTGAAACGTGAAGCTCATAGGTTACGATTACGATCAAATAATCGACAATATATAATCAAGCTAGCGACGGAGGTGATTTGGAATTTACGATGCACACAAACTCAAAGGCAGATTTTTATAAATTTAGCTAATAACGCGAATTCTATTAATCAAAGTGTGACGCCAGTTAACAACAATGATACCCTTGATCGGATTGCAAGAATAAATACTCCACAGGCGGCCATCAATCCTCTTGAGCGAGACCTTTTTAATGGAAGTATCTTTCACAATAACAGCAGTCTCGATTCATTAATTTTTCCTAGGAATTAGTTTCAAAGTATTACATATATTGTAAATAAAATAAATAATATTAATTTTTTTAAGCATAGATTCCACACAGATTATTCTTTCTGGTTCCTTGGAAATTAAATTGGTACAAAACTTTTGAAGTTCTAAGAACGAATTATGTTTAAAAC